TTTACAGAAAGAGAGATAATAGTGGGGGATGGTAAGTTGTTTCACCACTTCAAAAATGGTTATTGTTCTTGTGGAGATTATTGGTGAATCTGGGTGATTTGGATTCAAATCAAAGAAGATAGAAACAAGCATGATTAGGAACCCTGCTCAATCCCAGTAAAGGAGAAGAAAATGAGGTAGAGACTGTATATAGCTATACGTACCACTTAAGAAGCCCTTTGCATATCTAATCGTGTGGGAAAAAACTAGTGAAAGAAAACCTTCAGCGGTTATGAATTACTTACACGCTGCTCTTGCAGCTTTGGTATTTCACTCATGTATAGATAGTATAAGATAAAACGTAAAAATATTTGAAACGAAAGTGACTTGATTAAGATAAAGATGTTCACTTTCTGAAGAATAGATTACCAATATTTTAAGGTGAAAAAAGAAGGTAGAAAAAATTCTGAAGGAACAACTTTCACTGAGGACTTTTTGAGTTTTAATAAAATTATACTTCAAGAAAAGTGAGACCGGTTTTAAAAATTATATATTACAAATGTTCTTGAGCACAAGCAACCACAGATATCTAAAAACAATATATAAGAATTTATCTTATAAAAGGATAGAACAATGACAAGTGGCTAATTAATTTTAGCTTCCGTATACAAATAAAACACAATTTGTTCATGAAAACAGCATGAATTTAATACCAATGCTTAGTAATCTTCAGAATACCCACTGCAATAAATAAGCTTCTATTTAAACTTTTAGAAAGAAAAATATATATATGTATATGTATATGTATATAACCAAATTTTTGTTTATCAGTTCTCGTAAAACCAATTAAATAGATCTTTCAATTAGGAAAAACAGTAAATACACAGTACAATGTACAGCACTACAGTTCAAGGGTTACAATGATATCAAAGACTAAATAAAAATCTTTAGTTATATTTTCAACCCAAAAAAAAAAAAAAGGTTTGTATTGTTTTAATCATTTACAAATTATATATAAGATGATGTTAAAAAAACCCTTAAAATGAGAAAAGAAAAGTATTATGTACAATATTCGAGATAACTTATCTACCGGTCAAACTTGAAATTCCAAAATTACCCTTGGTCAGTCAACCTTCTCATCATCATCACCACCATAATCCCGTTTATCCTCCTCTTCTTCGTCGGACTCGTTCCTCCTCCCCCTGACGCTGAAAACTTCCCTAACAGTTTTCGAGACAAAGTCGCCGAACCATCTGATACAACCACATTGACCACCGCGACTACCGCCGCAAAACTTCTGTTTGAAAATACCGAAAATTCCGACACTTTCCACCTCCGGCAAACTCGACATGGGCTGCAGATAAGAAAGCGCCGCTTGCTTGACAAGCGGATTTTTTATAGGTATTTCGTGCCAGCTTGAGTTACTTGTGGGTGACAAGATCGCCGGCGGCGACGTCGGTAATAAATCTTTGAGGCTTGTGTAGCTAACGGTCTGTAGTGTTATCATCTCTAAATCAGAGATTTGAAATTGAGGAGAAGGAAAAGCATAGGAACGTCGGGAGGGAAAACTGGGGGAGTGGTGATGAGGATGAATCTGGTGGCGAAAAGCGAATGGAATTTGGTTGTAGCGATTTTCGATGATGGGTTTTAGGATTTCCATGGAAAACAGATTTGGTAATATAATAAACTCTGATTCACTTGTTTGGGCAAATCTCATTGAGGTTAGAAAGTGTTGGAGGGCGTTTAGGTTTGTGATTAATTCAATTTTTTAAAACAATTAAAAAAAAAAATTAAATATAGAAGAAGTCTACTTGTAAGCTGACACGTAAAAAACAATATAATGTCATTTTAGTTTAGTAATTAAGAAAAAGAACAAGTTAGTGAATATATCCATTTATCAGTAATCAAAATTCAGATAACATACTAATTTGTGAGAAGGGTGAAAATGCAGAGGAGAGAGCAACTAGCCTTTGTACGTCGACGTTTTATTCTGTTGGGATGGAAAGGAGAATCAGGAGCTGATTTCGGTCGTTAAAATTGAAGGACAAGTCACGCGCGAGTCAGAGAGTGCAGTTACGCTCCCAATAATAACATTCCCACTTATACGCACAGCTGTAAACAAAATGTATCCTTGCCAACTAGGATCCAAGTCAGCATCAAAATTATTGCCATTTTATTAATATTTTAATTTAAAAATATTTCCCCCAAAGTTGGTCAGACTTCCAGATTCTTGATTTATATTAAACTATGTTAATTATAATTATAATGTTTTTTTTTTTATATATATATAACATTGCATTGAAATAATGATGGTATTCAAATTTCATATCATTTTAAGTAAGATTTTCAATTTTTAATAAATGGCATTTTTATTTTCAATTATTTGTGGGATGATAGCTAACTTAGATATTTCTATTTCTTTATACTAAGAATAATATATTATATGTGTTGCATTATGTATGTATATTATTCTAAAGATTATATTATTATCGATATGCATTTCAAATCTGATCATTAAAATAAAAATTAAAAAAATAAACAAACCAGCTTATTTATATCCAACTCGTGAAATTACAAAATAGCACCCAAAATATTCTAATTAGGTTTTCAATTTTGCGTTGGAGATTCAGGCCCAAACCCTAAAAGGAAATATGGGCTCAATTTACAAGCTCAGAAGCTGCCTGTTTATTCTGTATCTTCTTCGTCGCTCTCGCACATCCTCCAACACACAGAAACTAGAAACAAAGTTGCGGATTTTGGGCGACATGGTAACTAACATTGCTTTTCTTTTTTACCTTGCTGAATTTTCTGGGTTATTTCTTAGCTTTCATTTACTATCTTGAAATTTCTCTTGGATTTTTCTTTTTCCTTCCCTCATTTGCTTCCCATCATGGAAGCATTTCTCCTTTTTCTCATGTCTTCACCCAAAAAGTATGATTTCGCTCCGAGGGTAGTGTTTTTTTGTTAGCCTATTTGATTTTCTCCGCTAAATTTTGTGTCAAAATTTATCCGTTGGTACCTTTTCAGCTCACTATTCATGATTGTATTTTACTTGAAATAGGCTTTTAATTGTTAGACTTACATAATTTATAATGAAGAGTAATTATCCATTCTTTTTTGGTAGATAAAATTGATTAGCAACTAATATTGGTCAATGATGACGGTTTTTTCTGGCTTGCTGCCAAATTATTCAGGTTCTTTTTCTACCTCTCTAAATTTCATTTTACTGTGTGACTAATGATTTATTGCAGTTGAAAATGCATTATTTGTTTCTAGGTTATATTTTATTTCCTACTTTGAATAGGTTTAAAGCTTCATGCCAGTCATCCTGGACTAATATTCCAGACTCAAAGATGTAATGGGATCAGATTTGGTAGGTGCAATCCAGTTCAGCTATTTTCGAAGAGGGTAATTGCCATTTTTTTGTATACATATTCCTTGCAGAAATGTTGTTATCTATTTGATGTGGAATTTACTCCATGGATTATCAAAACATGTTCATGTAGATTCCTCGTATGAGAACTCGACATCTACCATTAAAGCACTGGGGTGGTGACCGTGCTGTGCACGTTGGAAGTGATCATCACCAGTTGAGCTATGATGATGACCTATCTGAAGAAGAGCCCTTTTGGCTCACTCTGGTTAAAGAAGCCATCTGGTATTCAGGCTCACAGAATTTACCATATTCTCTTTGTTGTTTGTTAGTTTGTTTAGGTACCTGTGACACATTAATATCCATTTCATTTTAGCGGTGACAGAAAGTTTCTGGATTCATGACATGATTGGTGTTTCATTTTTGTCTTCTAGGGCCTTAAGATCTCTATTTGTGTTTCTAGCTGAGCAGCCTAACCAGCTGAAGTACATAGAGTGGCCAAGCTTCCAAAGCACGGTATGTATGCCTTATCAAAAGAGATATTTAAGGTTTTTTAGTACTGCAACATTTATTTAAGTCCTATCTTGATTGAATTTTTGTTGGTGACTTGGTTTGATATCAAGTCATCATGGAACAAAAACCACCAACTCAATGGTTGCCTGCTTTCCAAGGAAGTGTTTGTTCTTTCATTGGAAACCCACATGTTGTGGTATTGGCTGGGTCACTTAAGTAAAAAATAAAAGTCACCATAGGAAACACACACCTTATTTAAAATTAACTTGCAAGTTTGTTTGATCATGATGCTTGCAGAACTCAGTACTAGCATCAAAGAATCTGTATACCTCTTTTGTGCTTGTGCAGCTATGAAGAATGCAAGCCATATATAAACCATAAGGATATGTTGTTGTACCATGCTAATTGGTCCACGTTTGACTTTTATTTTTGAGCAGTAACTTAGTTTTCATTGATATGCAGCTCAAGACAGCTGTTCTCACACTCATTCTCGTAGCAATTTTCATTGTGGCACTATCATCAGTTGACTATGCTCTCAGCTATATGTTGGCTATTCTATTGAAGAGAGCACCATGAAAGTTGGAATTATATCTCAAAGACACTGTTTATGAATAGAAAGTTTCAACCTGAAGTTGCAGATATATGTAAATACGCCGATGATACATTGTAGCAGAACTTTTCTCTAATTCAGTGGACAGGGATACCTGCTCTGCAGTTTTGCTGCTGAAAGGAGAGAAAATGGATGAATTACTTTTGAAGTTGATTGATGGATAAACATTTCTGGTTCCATTTTCCACTATTTTGCAAACTTCTTAGGATTCATGGGCAGGATGATTGAATAGTTTTCCGCCTTTTTAGCCCAGAATCCACCATTCTATGGATTTTCAAATTGGTTCATGAAGGATTCTGGGTATAAAGCATTGTTAAGAATCATGAGTACTGAAATTCGAGTATTATTGTAAGGCAGTCTGTTATGTTGAGGATTCACCATTAGAGGAAAGAGAGAGTTTGTTATTTTGACCCGGAAGAGCATGTACTTAAATGATTAAATTTTTGTAGTTTATTTTGTCTTGATGATAAGAAATTAAGTATGCTACTTTGATAACAAAGAACATTTAGCTTAAAGTTTTCTTTAGTACAGTTGGATGATCAGAGTTTGAGTGATGTTTTTAATTTTGTTTTTAAATATGCCAATTTTATAACCAATGTTTTTTTTTTTGTGGAATATATAACCAATGTTAATTTTATGAGGCTTAAGCAATATTTTGTACTAAAGATTCTATACTAGTCACGAATAAATATATATATATATATATACATACATACATACATACATATATGTATATTTATTAACTTCAAATAAATCATTGTTATTATTATTTACAATCGTATTTTGTTTTCTATTTTTTTATTTATTATTACTTTTTTTTTTTTTTGCTAGATGAAATTATTTTGATTGTTTATATAATTACTGAAGCATTAAAAAGATAAAATATGATAAATTAGTGTGAAAAATTGTTTGATTTCTAATTTAACGAACTCAAGTTATAGTAAACAATTTTTTAGATTATCATGAAAATAAATAAAATTATTCAACAATATAAATACATATATGTTCATGGTATTGAACTCTTACAAAATAAGATATAAAATCATTATTTAATTTTTATACTCATCTTGAATTATTGTGGAATTGGATTCTAATGCCAATCCAAGATTTAAGGTAAAAGCTGTATTTTACAGATACTCCACCCAACAACCCATTAGGATAAATATACAGAACTTTTAATATTTAAAATAGCTACAAACATTTAATTATTATTCTAACATATGTTTAAATATAAATATATGTATATATTCAACTTACAAATACATTTGCTATTAAAATAAATTATATCTTCAAAATTTGTATATGCATCAAAGTATGATTTTGCTTTATAAACTCCAAGAACTCGTACACAACTCAGTATAAAGAAATTGTTTATTTGGATACAATTTTCTAAAACTGCTTATAATGTAAAATATAGGGTAGGGTCATCAAGTGATCAAATTACAAACCCAACCATAAACACAAACTAGATGTGATTATATCCATCTTCAAAACAGGCAACTTCCTATTTTACATTAAGAAAAAAAACCTACTGAATCAAGGAAAAAAATGCAAAGCTGTTGCCAAATTTCTCACCAATGCCCACAAGGAAACAATTTCTATTGCTTTTTTTTTCTTTAAAAAAAAAAAAAGTAAAATAAAATGTTATATCGTACATCCACTGCATCTGTATCTTATTGTTTCCAAAGAAGACCAAATACCACACCTGCTGAATGCAAAGACCTAAACTCCATTTTTAACTTACAGACCTCCAAAATTATGTAATACTCAAACAAACAATGGATCAATGAATGTCGAATCCACGTGTACAAAAATCAGTGGAAATGGAGACGAGCCTATCCCACTAAAGTAGGAAAGAGGGGGAAATATGAATGAAAATGACAAAAATGATGAATCAAATATTGGAACTAGAATGAGATCAACACCTTTTTACCCGTTTTTTAATCACAAAAACTAAATGGATAAAACAACCTCAGAGGCCCCGAGTTGGAGAACTGCACTCCCCACTGTATTAAGTAATGCTTTTGTCGCTTCCTTGGCTACATCATTGTCTGAAAATAAATGATGCCAGGCTGTAGGATATGGATCTTAAGCTTTTGAAGAGGTACAGGTTGGACTGCAGGCTTAACTGAATAAATGCAACACTGATGCTTTTGCTAAGGCAAATCAAGAACCAGATTTCATCTTTGCTTCAAAGAATCATGTGCTTCAATATGGTTGGACAATCCACAAAATTACCATTCTGAAGAACCCACAAGCTACGACAGACTATACCCAAACAAGTAAGCAGAAAAATATTATACTTGATATTTGGACAACTTGTCCTTCACCGGAGGCTCTAAAGCAGACATACACTGGTCCCATGCTCCATTCCTGAGCATCTGTAAGATATCCCAATGAATAACCAAAGCATTAATTTTAGATTTTTTAGATGTTTCTCTATACAGCATTGACAAGCAAATTTCCAATCTACGGCCTTCATTCAGCTTTTTTTATTT